AGAAAAGCATTAAACCTTTTCGAAACGTGATGGTAATTGCAGTGAAAGAAATAATATATGAGTTTTTAATCTTCGTTGACTAAACTCGGATCATAAAGAAAAGCTAATCGATATTTAAAGCGATATAACATAATATTAGTCATAATCAATGACTCAAGTCCTATTTAAAAGTAGATTCCTAAGAGAAGTAAAGTATTAAGTCTTCTCAGCACGTAAAGTCAATCGCAGTTGTAGAAATTATATATATTAGTCATAATTATTGATTTACTCTGCTTAAAAACTGCTTAGAAACTTTTGAAGAGAAAAGAAGATATGTTAAGCATACCTTTTCAATATAAGAAATCAACGGATTTGATAGAAATAATACAATATAAGTAATAATCAATGATTTAATGATAGCTTGGTGGTGTTCTATAGGTGTACAACATGGACTAAACTCTTTTATATCAAAATTCGGATTTATAGCTTATATTCTATATATTATATATTATATTATATATAATTATATATATATTATTATATTAGTATATATAATCTATATATATTATAATTATATATTTATATATTTATTATTATTATATTATATATATTATATTATTTATATTATTATATATTCTATTATTATATTATATTATATATATTATATTGATAATTTTCCTTATGGATGAAATCTCGCAACTGTTTGAGATATAAATTATATTATTAGGAAAAAGTGTTTTAATGGAACATTAGGGGGACGGTTTCAGAGATCGTGGCTTAAGTTCGAATACTTACTTTTTAACTTAATGTAACACTTCATCACTGTTGATTACAAGTCGGCATTGTGGCTAGTTATGGTATCCATTTGGGCTTAATTGACCGTAATAGTCTTGTATTAATAATAATATATTATATATTATTAATAATAAATAACATTATATAATAATTATTAATATAATATAATAATAAATCAATTATTATATAATAGTAAATATTAATATTGCGTGATATTGAAAAGTATCTTTGGGTTTTTATCACTAGATATTGTTAGCACCCATATATCAAGCAACACTAATCTGATTATGTCAAATAACTAATATAGTGTAAATCATATAAAAAATAAATTATATAAAATAATAATAATGAAGAAATAACAAAAAATTAATAATGATTAAATAATAAAAAAATTAAGAACAAATAATAAAAAATTAAGAATAAATAAAAAATTAATAATAAATAAAAAATTAATAATAAATAAAAAATTAATAATAAATAAAAAAATAATAATAAATAAAAAATAATCATATTCATCATCAATTCCTATATCTCCCATTGGAGCACAGATGAAAAATAATAGTCATAAAAAAAATAGTAATAAAAAATTATAATACTGATTTAATAATAATGATAATTTAATAAAAAATAAATAAATATTATAATAAAAAATAAGAATTAAATTAAATTTATTATTATCGAAATAAATAATAATAATAATAATGTAATAATTTACATGGAAGCAAATAAGTTAATAATATATTCTATCTGATAATATGCACAAAAAATGATAATATATTAGCTAAAATTAAACAATAATGACATAATAATAATAAAATGTTAATGATATTAATACAGTAATATATATTTAATACAATATATAAATAATAATAAAATAAAGTATAAAAAAAACCTATAAAGTGCAATAAAGTGATATGTCCGTCCATATCTATTTACACCAACACATTCCCTAATATGGTGTATATATGGTATACTACAGAGTATTCGTATTCTACTATGCAAATCCCTTGAGCCAAGCATGACTACCCAACTTCTCGCTATCTTTGGTCGTGAAGGATTTAATTAAAAATATGTCGAAGTAATAAGTCTCAAACACTTAGCATTTATTAAAGTTTTATTTGTTTATTAAAATTTTATTTATTGCATTAAACACACGGCAACAGCGAACTATAAAATCAGAAATAAACACTTCAGCCGGCGCTGGTGAGTGACTCAGCGAAGAAGTGATTGCCGATTGCCAACTGCCTATGGATATGGAGGTGAGTGGACGCGGGTACCTTTGCGGCAGCGACGTTGTGCTATAAAAGAGGATTTATTATGGAGGTGACCAAATGTCTGTCGCGAAGAAATAAAATGAATACAACGAATAAAATATATATAGAAATAAAATTTTAAAGAAAAAAGAATACCGAATTATTTAAAAATATAAAGCAAGTTCATAAATCGTTCTCGGAATTTTTCCGCTTACTTAGAATAAAATATTTCTCATCCATGAACCGATGATTTCTTCTCGTACACCTTCAGAAGAAGTATGTACATTTTTGTTGAGCTCAACAAATATTTATAAGAATGAAAAATAATTATTGTTTAAATATAAAAAATAAAAATTAAGAAAAGAATTTTTATAAAGAAACCTATTATTACATATGACACTAAAGTTAACAAAAAATTTAACTGCAAAATTAAAACTTCAGAAAATATTTGCTTATGTTGCCTGTTGAATATCTATCTAAATTTATCTACAAAATTTTATCTCATATTTATTTTGATATTTAACGTAATACTCTTGAGGTGAGGTGAAAATCTTACTGTCATGCGTTTTTAAGACAATGTTCGCACTTTAAAAATTATGTGCAATATAAAATTGTTTATGGATAATATTTCAGTAAAACGGCTTTAGTTTTTATGATTAAGATTTTGCAATAGTATCTGGTTTTTATATATATGTCGAAATATGTATATTTAAAATGTTAAGCCTTTCGTAAATTATTTTGCTTTAAATTTTATTTAATTTTTATTATGGAATTTGGTAGATCAGAAAATGTGTTTTGTCAAGTATTTAGAGAAATACAGTAGAAGCTCTGTCAAAAAAATGGACGTTGTCATAAACGGACGGGCCTTTTAACCATCAAATGTTGCTAGTCATCAAGTTTCATTTTGCAGAAGAAGAAATATGTTTTAAAACAGATAATCCTTTAAACGAAATAGATTTAGTGGCCCATTCGGTCTCCACAAAACAAAACTTTTGTTGCATTATTCTCTATTATATTAAGGTTATATAGGTTTTTAGAACTGTAGTGAACTACAACAACAAAAATTCATTTTATACTATTTTAATTAATTGAATTTTTGGCTGGCCATATAGCTGTTTCGAGTATTGCCAAATACGCATCACTAGTGGTCTTGGATATAATTCTTATATTTCATTTATTTAATTATAATTTATTTAAGTTTATTACATATACACTTTCATCTTATCAATAATCGGGCTGACTAACTTAATATAAAAGTACATACATAATACTTACAGGATTTTATGTGTATATATTAAAATGTCTTATTAACAGTTCTTACTGATTATAGCAAAACTTGTCCTTCATGGATGTTAATGATTACTATTACTTATGTTTATATATATCTTAAGCATATACCAAATAACTCTTTAAGATCTTTTTTGTTGCTTTAAAATCATACGAAGAATCACTACTCCAAAACAAAATATATATCTGTTTGACTTAAATTTCCCAATCTTTTAGCAAAAATACACTTACTCATGGTAGTATTTCAAAACGTTTAACTGATAAAACAATATCGCCAGTTCGGTATTACCCAACTGTTATAGTTTATTATAGGTTTCAAGTTAATATGGGCAATCCAATTACACAAAATGATGCAGATAAATCTGGAGAGCTTATTTGTTATCAGATAATTAGCGATTACAAATGATATCATTAATTGTTCATGTTATGAAATTCGCGACGTAATGCATTTGCGTAATTTCATAATCTCCGCAATTTCCATTTTGACTGTTGTAATATTTTTTAATAAACAAATTAAACCATTTTTA